AACCCTTTCATTCAGCCGCGCTCATTCTCCCCGGTCTCCCTCTGGACGGCCCCGTTCATCATCGTTCCCCGCGAAGTTCCCGCCGGTCGGGCTTCCGCGACACGACCGACGATTCACGCTGTCTTCCGAAGCTCGAGACCATGACAGGCTCGTCATCCCGCGATCCGTGCCCCCGCCTCGAGTCTCTGATATCCACGTGGCCGTTTCCTCGTGCCTTTCCGCGCCCTCCCTTCCACCTACCCGCCCCTCGCCCCCTGGCCTCGCCCTGTTGTACACTCATGTACATCTGCACAACGAGCCCCCTTTGTCGTCGCCCGAAGATGCGATCGTCGTCGACGTCGGAACGTCAACACGGAAGATACCGAGCAGCTCTGAGGGTTTCGGCACAAAAAGAGTGATAGAAAGAGGAGAAGGAGAAAGTAGAGGGAAGTGCGATCCGACCCGAGCCGATCCCGAGTCTACCGGGACGGTGTGTGTCCCCCCCCCCCATGTTCGTTGGCAGAAAATGCAAATGCGCCGCTCGCATCGGTCTCGATCTAACCAAACGGATAGACAAACGCACCACGAAGGACAAGCACGAGGCCTCGCCGCCTCTCTGGTCTCGTTTTCTCATGATCGAAAAGCCGGCCGCGAGAGGAAGAGCGCCACCGGGGGCTGCGAGACGATCGCGTTCCCGTTCGCGTAAGCGCCGGTCGCAGAAGGAGCATGCGAGCTCTCTCCGACTCTTCCATGGAAAGGTGTACAATTGGTCGGGTTAATTGGAATAGAAAGGAAGAGAGACGAATCGCGCGCGACGGGGTAGTAAGAAGAACAGAGACATTAACCCTTCGTTGCATTTTTGCACCCTTTTCTCGCTGAGTTTCTCTGTCGAATGTATTTCGCGGTAAAACCATCGCATACTTGTGTTGCTCACGTATTAATTTTAGGGACATAACGTGTCAAATATGTTGCACGAACCAATTGCGAAATACGTGAAAATACGGGAACACTGCGAGGAGAAACGCATCTCGTGCACAGGACACCATGCGACAAAGGGTTAAAAGAATCTGAGAAGTGAGAATTTTTAATTCGACAGAAAAAATACAGAAAAAAATCTCTCGAATTGTGACGTTAATTTCTGTGGAAGGGGGCAAAGAGCGAATTCAGAAAAACAGAGAGTGAGAGAAGCCGAGATATATTTTGCCACTTTGACAAAATTTTCCCACCCCCTCTCCCGCGCGAGACATGCTCCTCTCTGCAGAAAGACGGACTGTAGGCGCGCACGGGAACGAACCCTCCTCGCGCACCCCGTATATTTCGCTGCGATTGAACGCTGGATTTGGCTGGTTTTTTTTTCTCCTCCCCGCACCCCCTCCCGCGCCCCAGCTTTTTCTGTTTTCTGTTTTCATGTCAGGGACAACGTCCTACGATCCCGCATCACGTCCCGCATCCCGTGTCACCCCGCCCCCCTCCCCCTTTCCCTCTCCCCCGTCCTCTTGCTTCCCGACGGATATTTTTTTGGGACGCTCTCGAGCGCTTGTGGCATTCGTGGAGTGCGACGTGGTGGTATCTTTGACGATCGATTTTAACGGCACGACATTAATGGCACAAAGAACAGATCCTCCCGCGGTGTCTCAAATTTCCATCTCATCCGATATTCCTGACTTCTCCGCCGACGTGTCAGCGGGGATGATCTATCGGCTCGGCAAAGATACCGCCGCGGGTTGGTTACATTTTAGTTACTTTAGTTTAACCATAAGTTATACGTGAAAGCCTTAAGTCTTATAATGTGTGACGCCCCGTTTTATGTTGTATGATTTCTTTCTTGATGTCTGCTTTTCCGTTTTGTGATCTTGCCGTTTCTGTTTCGTTGAGCGAAAAAAAAAGAAGGGGGGAGAAAGAAAAGGGAGAGAAAAGAGTGCAAAAGGAGGAGAAGAATGCACACGTGGGTTCAATCTTAACGAAATAGAGCGCGGAGAGTTTTCACACTTCCGGAAACGACTTCCGTCGCCGCGATGGTCGCCGCGAATTTTTCACCCGAATAACAGTCGCCTTCCCCGATCGCGTCGGCAATCGCGAATTACTTCTGCACCGTTCCTTTCCTGGCTCGCAAAGAAAAAAGAAACAACAGAGGGAGAGAGGGCGAAAAGCGCAGAAGAGGAAATAACGGGAAATCACACCAGGTCATTTTTAATCGAAAAATTCGCGAGAATCATCCGGAGTCCCGTGCGATTCGCGGACTTTTGGCACCTCCCGAGTCTCACGAGACTCCACGCGAAGACTCTCGAGACCCATAAATCTCCGAATCATCGAGGACCTCGCGCCTCCACACTCGCGGACGTCTCGATTCGCGGCTCGTTAAATTAAATCCTCGCATCCCATGGCGAAAGAGCGAGAGCGGTCTCCGGTGGTCCCGCGTCTCTTTTTGCATTTAGATTCGCGAACTTTCGGCTTTTCGAGCGTCGGACTCTCAGAGGCCCAAGTTTCATGACAAGAAGGAGACAGAGAGAGAAAGAGAGAATGAGAAATAGACAGAGAAAGAGAGAAAGAGAGAAAAAGAAAGGAAGAGAGAGGAAGAACAAGAAAAAAAGACGATTTCCTTAGCGCTTAATTAATGATCGGCGAATCGCTCGATTCGAGCGAGCGAGCGAGGAAAGGAGCGGATGCGACGGAAGGGAGGGAGGGACGGATAAAGCCAGACTGGACAAACCGAGAAAGAAATTATCAAAAGAAACAAAAAAAAATAGAGAAAAACGGGCTTTGTAAGCGGTGCGATGATACCAATTAAGACTGATGAGAAGTGTAAACGCAAGGTGTGTGTCTATCGGTTTGGTTTTAGCCCTGAGCAACTGCTCTGAGAGCGGAGGCGAGCCGGACGCAATGCTGGATATCCACCACCCAGGAACCGGGATCGACTCGCACCACCAACAGTTTCACAACTCCTATGGTAATATGAAATTCATCATTATAAAATAGTAACTAGGCGCACGCGCCTCTCGCTCTCGCGCGTTTCGCGATTCGCGGAGAGAGCCCCTTTCGAGTCCTCGCGCGCTTTTCCCGCGTCTTTTTCGCCGCGCTTTCTCTTGCTCTTCCCACCTGACTTGTTACTCGCTACGCAACGCTACACCCCCGGACGCTAGCTCGAGGCAGCCAGAGCTCGCGTTCACGATCGATCGTACGGACGTACGGACTACGGACTGACAGACGGACGGAAACGAGCCTCCGCCTTCGACGGCGAGGACGACTCTCGAGGAATCAACGTTCGCCCACGTCGGATTAACAGGCCCGCGCCGGTCCTCGCAATCATTCCTCTCTCATTTCTCCACCACTGTCGTCGACTCTCACTTATCGCCGTTATTATCCTCGCAGGGGGCCGCGAACACGCGATTCGGTGTGCCGATCGAACCGCGCAATTAACCGTACGAGCCGAGAAGCCGCGCTTTTCGAGCGTCACGGAGGAAAATTTCGTCGCGGAGACTTTCCGCGCGATCCTTGGACATTCGCCATTGACGAGCGCCGTGATTCAGCATGTGCAGATTCTTCTCCTTTTTCAAACTATTTTATTATTTATACGAGACCGAGTGTTACTCTTGTCATCTATTCTAACTTTAAAGTAAAATTACGTAAAATGAATAAACTGCAAGATCGGTTGAAGCTGCAATTTGTATGTATAATTAAGCTACAAACTATAAAATTCGATAGTTACGCTATAAATCTATAAAGCTAAAAAGCTAGAGTAGTTTTAACTTCGTTCAACTAATTGTCCGGTGATGATCAGTGAAAATCGCGCTGGCTCTCCTGGCTCGTCGCGGTTAAGGGGATGTTGAAGCTGAAAATCTTATTGATAGAATACTGACATTTTGATCCGCAAAGTTTACGTCATATTGGTTGTACAGAATTGCAAATGCTCTTACATAATGAAGGTACGCTCAAAAATAAATAGGAGCATTGCTCGATACGTAAGGAAAACGAGAAAAAAACTGTTTTATGTAAAATCTCAAGCTGTCAGCTGTCAGAGTAATATTTGCCCACTCCAAAAGTTATTTGTGTAGCTTGTGCATAAAAGTGCGAATGCTTCAAACAGACAATTTTTCAAGAACATTGCTGTATTGTTTCGTATTTGAATTCAGAGACTTAAAGGGATGTTGAAGCTGAAAACTTTACCGACAGAATATTGACATTTTTCTGCAAAGTTTACGTATTGATTACACAGAATTACAAATGTTTTTACGTACACGGAAAAAAAAGATCTGCTACATATGGACAACTAACATAATTTGCCGTATTAGTCACTTCTTCTTTGCTGCAGGAGCCAATTTTCTTGCTAACAATTTTCTTGATAATAAGAAAATCTGTTCCTGCAACAAAAGAAGTAGCTAAAATAAATTATGTTTAGTTGTCCATATATAGCAAATTCGCTACGTTAGCTACTTTTCTTGTTGTAGGAGCAGACTTCCCTGTTATCATAGCAAGAAAATAGGTTCCTGCTGTAAAAAAAAGTAGCTAACACAGCGAATTATATTTAATTGTCCATATATAGCAAATTAGTTTGTTGCTGCAGCAAATTATTTTTTTCCGTGTAATGAAAATACGTAGAAATAAATACGTAGAAATAAATAGGTAGTTTGCGTAGAAATATGCAAAAATAAATAGAAGTATTGCTCGATATGTGACGAAAACGAAGAAAAAATTTGAAATATAAAATCTCAAGCTATCAGCGTAATATTTGCCTAATCCAAAAGTTCCGCAGCTTGTACATACCGAAAGTGTGGATGCTCCAAACAGAAAAATTTTGAGGAACATTGCTCTACCTTTGCATCTATATTTGGAAGCTTAAGAATATCGAAAAAGTTTGCAGAAAGATTTCTACACATATATAGCTAGGTTTTCCTAGATTGAATATAAGAAAACAAAGCAACTTACACTCATATAAGTTCTGTATATACAAGAAATACGAAAAGGATAGCATGATTATGTTAATGACGATCGTCTCTGCATTATTGACATTGTTCGAGTTTGTCATCGACTCCAGCATCCCCTTAAGACTGCCGGAAAAAAATTGCAGAAAGATTTCTACGCATGTGCGTGGTTTTTCGCTGAATATCGCGAAACAAAGCACCACACATTTACGTAAGTTCTACATGAACAAGAAAAAGGATAGCATGATTGTGTCAGTGACGATCGTCTCTGCGTTGCCGACATTGTTCGAGTTCGTCATCGACTTTAGCACTCCCTTAATCGCGAAAGACGAAAGAGAATCGCGCGCATCCCGAATCTATCACGAGAAGCTTGGTCGAAAACAATAAGCTTTTACCGCGATGAGAGAGGTACGCGACAGAGTTTTTCGCGTTTCAGAGAATCTTGCGGGGAAAAGCCACGAGGGAATAATAAGGTTTCTGAATAATTCCCAGGCGACACAAATCAGGTCACGAATTTCCGTCATTGAACCGCGCGAAATTAATAATGACGGCAGCTGTTTCATGGGACTTTAAAGAGCTCTCTCTCTCTCTCCCTCTCTCTCTTTCTCTCTCTCTATCTCTCTCTCTCTCTCTCTCTCTCTCTCTCTCTTGATGCGCCGCGTGTCGGGTTAGATTGATAGATTCCGTCAATTCGAATGTCGATTCGCGTTTCTCGATCGTTCAACTTAACGGCGTTACCGCTTATAAGCGTGTTTGCGGAATAAGTGATTTCATGTACGATTCAAGAGGCGAGAATACCGCACCGCGCGCACTTCCGACGAGCTCTCTCGCGGTTCACACACATACACACACAGGTGTACCAAGAAAGAACACCGCGGTGGGAGACTGAAAGCATCTTAAATTTACCAGCGGCGACTTCCTCGCGCCAAGTCGCGTAGCTGGGGACATTCAATTAATTAACTCGGACGAGAAGCGTATTTCGCGCTTGAATTAATTATCATATCCGACTTACAACGTCGTCGCGAACGAAGTCGTAAGCCCGTCGATAACGCGACGTTCATCATCCGCGGTTAATTCGTCATTCTTTTATCCTCTTTGCGGTCTTCTCGGCCGAGCACTTTGCGCGCATCCTCCCCTTATCCTCCCCCTCGTTCGTAAGAAACAGCCCCGACAGAGGAAGATGACCAATTCGCCGCCGAAATGGAGACGTCCCGACAAACACACACGCGACACACGAAGAAGCGGGGGCGGCGGGTCGAAGTGATTAAATAAGCGGGGAAGGATAGTTGGCGTCTTATCTGGCGCAATCGAATTAATTAATCGTCCCCCATGCCATATATTGATACGATCCGTTCCGATGGATCGTGAATAATGCGCGGCTCCTAACTCGACGTCGACGCGCGCTATTTCGATCGGTTCTCGTGGAGGAATCCCGCGAGCGAGCGAGCGAGCGAGCGGCATACGGGAATTTTAAATAGATTTCAGAAAGATCGGATCTCGCCCGCGAATTAATGGGACGCGACTTCCCGATGGATTTTTAAAGCGATCCATCGCGACTCTATCGCGACGTATTTGCGGAGCCGATTCGATATGCGCCTCGCGCGCGCGCATCCGCACGCGACGTTTCGCTTCGACCAATATTTTCATTCATTTGACTAATCAGAGGGTATGTGCAGGGAGAAAGACTGTATGTCTATATGATAGAAACAGAGAAAGAGAAAGAGAGAGAGAGAATTCGTAGCCCAGAAGCGCACTCCGTGGTGAATATAAAAATGATCTGTCGCTGAGGTCACATTCGCGCGACTGTCGTTCCTTTCTGCCTCAACCGCGCAAGCTGACAGAGCTTCTGAAATAAACATTGAGACGAGTTCCTGAATCTTAGCTCCCACGAGAATTATCAGTTCCCCCCGAATCACATTCTGGCAAGAAAAGGAAAACTCGAAAGGCAAGGGAGCCGGGCTAATTGTACGCGTCACATGCCTTCGACTTTCGCGAGTGAAACGTCGACTTGGCCGGGAACCGATTCCCAAAATCGACATGAAACTTTGGCCCTGCCGTTCTGGATGTTATTGCTCGCGGGGAGAGCCTGTTTCGCGAAGGCACTCGCGGCGAATCGAAAGCGCGCGCGCGAGTTCCGATCGAAAGTTTGCGAAACAACACAGAGACCCCGCAGGACTCGCGCTGATTGGACGCGGCCATTCCGTGTGATAACGGAGACGCTGCTGAAAACTCGAAAAAGGACAAAGAGGAGGGGATAGGATGGATGGAGGAAAATAGGAGAGATTGAGAGAGAAGGGAAGAGCATTGAGAAAGGGGAGGGATCGATGCGTCGTGGAAGTCGCGAACGCGAATACGTCGCGAAAGTATCAGTCGGCGGAGGTAATCTCGCTACTTGGGCTGCTCATTGAAATCCCACGCTAAATTTCAATCCGACGTGTACAAAAGTCGCGGGCCCTTTCCCACCCCCTTCCACCCCCGCCGTTGTCGTCGACTGTCCTCCCCCTTTTCTCGATTGTCGGTGCTCCGAGACTCCACAAGAGAGAGAGAGAGAGAGAGAGAGAGATCTCAGACGTAGGTCTCGAGCTCCAAGCAACGGTCCATTTCCGCGATCCTCATCTCCTCTTCCTCCCTTCCTGCCGCCATCCCTTCGACGAAGCACACACGCCCGGGACCGGAGAGGGAGGGAGAGGGCACGTGTGTATGCCCTCTCTATCCGGAAACGTCGGCGATCCTCGCGGAGTCTTGAATAAACTCGCGACTTGAATGTCTAAATTCATCCGCCGGGTCCTTTTAAATGTTTGAATGACGGATAGATCCCTCGCCGGTATATTGCAAGTATAACGCGGGAGTTCGAGGATTCGAGAGTTCGAGAGTGCGCGAAGCCCCAAAGTTTATCGATTTGACGGGAATGACGTCCAAGTTTTAACGAGGTTTCGCGAGCGGGCGGGCGGGCGAGCGCGAATTTCCACGTACATTTTTGTACGTTCCACTGCCTCGAGAAATCGGGGAACTTGTAATCAACACACGC